TTTTTTATTATTCCAGGGTATTATGAGGGTACAAACATTATAGTTACACTTTATGTCTTTGCCTCACCCAAGTGCGGGTTAAAGGCATGCCCTTTCTGAAAGTTTTAAAAACACTTCTGGTTGCCAAGAAATTTAACTAAGAGAAATTAAGGACTTGGAACTATTCTGCATGAAAATATATTTTCCAAACCAGTGTCAATCTTGAATTAGTTTCCATGTGGAAATCAAAAGTCATATGGGCATTACTTCAGTGACAGGAGGGACACAGGAGTGTCACATGATATGCTACATATTATATCAAGGCATATCAAAGCAATTAAATAACATACAGGACTTGATTCATTCTGATGAAATCAATTAATATGGTGACATATCAAACATTTATGATTCACTCTTCATTGGGAGAACAATTCAATTCTGAAAAGCTGCTCCTGTTTATTTTTAGATGACCTAACCCAAGAGATCATTTAGAGTTTCCTGTTTTTCTTCTTTTACTCTTGGAGTCAAATGATGATCATTTTTCACATGTGCAGCTGTTACAAACCCAAATGGTAATATTCATCTGGAAGGAAATAACGTGAACTGATTACAACTGTGCCAGAGCAGCACCCCACCCCCTAATGCCCTGGTTCTCAGGACATCCTTGTGATGACTCCCAGTGTTGACATGGACAGGGATTTATGTTCAGAAAAAATGCCCCAGAATTGGTCTTCACTTAAGCTTAGGATACCTTGTTTTAAAACATCGAATCTGCTCTTAATAAAACCAACCTCTTTCACCACAAAGCCTGATATTTCTCCCCTTAGTTGGAAGGGCAATGTGTCTTTTATTTGGAACCACCAGAACCTGCCTTCCTTTCCTCACTTAGCTCCCTGTGAGGCAGTATGGAACAGTGCAGTTTTCACTGAGCTTATGTAAATATGATCTGGTCTGAAAAATATATAATGGATCGGTGTGTATTGGCCCTTCCTTCCCTATTCACATGCATTCTTTCTTCTGCTGTTTTGTACATAATATAAGCAAGCACACATACATCTTTTTCTGTTGAGGTAATGCAAACATCTATCTCCTGCAAAGATGCTCATTCTGCTTAGTCTAGCCCAAATGGACGCTTTCTGAAAAATCACCTGATGCCTACATTATAAGTATTTAAATCCTAATATCGATATAATCATCCTAGGAAAAAACAACTTTAAAAGATAATACATTACTTATACCAACCTCAGTGATACCTTTAATATACTCTATACACATGGAGAATTGTTCTAATTAAGAGAAGTAACGATGCTCAACTGCAGGAATAGAATGAGCAAAAATTCTAGTTTACAAAAGCAATGTTGGCTACTAATATTTAGGTCATTAGAAAAATAAGGGCAAGAACATAACTGATTAAATATAACACAATTTATTAGACAATGATAGGTTGCTGGACAACCCTTTGCCTTCCTTATTCCAGCAACAGATTCTGCTGTGATAGGACATGCCCTGGTGGGTATCTGGTTAATACGGACCAGAGTTCTCATCCTAGAAGTTGCACATTAGAAGCTCATAAAAATGCCCATGCTCAAGGTACTCTTGCAGACCAATGGACTCAGACTCCCTTGGGTGGGGGTCTTGGAATTTTTTTTTTTTTTTGAGACAGAGTCTCACTCTGTTGCCTGGGCTAGAGTGCCATGGCGTCAGCCTAGCTCACAGCAACCTCGAACTCCTGGGCTCAAGCAATCCTACTGCCTCAGCCTCCCAAGTAGCTGCGACTACAGGCAAGCGCCACCATGCCTGGCTAATTTTTTCTATATATATATTTGTTTTAGTTGTCCATATAATTTCTTTCTATTTTTTAGTAGAGATGGGGTCTCACTCTTGCTCAGGCTAGTCTCGAACTCCCGAGCTCAAACGATCCACCCTCCTTGGCCTCCCAGAGTGCTAGGATTACAGGCATGAGCCACCGCGCCTGGCCTCGAATTTTTAAATGTTCCACAAGTGATTCTGTCGTGCAGTCAGAGGTAGGGATCACTGACACTTTCACTTCCTTTTCTCCAATTTAAGGTAAATCTTTGAAATGTCTGAATGTATTTTGGTTGAAGGTGGTGCCACTGACATCTAGTGAGTAGAGGCCAGGGATGCTGCTAAACATTCCACAATGTACAGGGCAGCTCCCACCACAAAGAATTATCCAGTCTAAAATACCAATAGTACCAAGGTTGAGAAACCCTGCTGTAAGGGAGGCAAAACAATGGTTTTCCATTCTTTAGAATTCCTTATCTCCTTTAGTCCAAAGAACCAAATGTCATGACCCTTTAGGCACAGTTCAAGTTCTGCGTACAAAGACTGAGATCAGTGGTGTGGAACGGGTCTTGTCCAATACTGATCACAATGCAATTATTTTTAATACCCTTGGTCTCATTGCCTTCCATTACCTTTCAAGCAGACATTCAATCATTATATGAAAGAACTCCAAGGCAAGACATATAGCTGTCCTCATTCGACACTCATTTACTATGTCACATAAAGTGAAAATAAACTCACACGACCACACCATTCAGCAATCATTTCATAAAAGACTATAAAAACAAGCCACAAGAAATTGGACTGTGTCAATGGTCTCAGAGAATATTAGTTAAAAATGACCACAAATACCTCAGAGTGGCTAAAGTGTCAGTTCTCTAAATAGACATAGAAGGGGACACAAAACAGTGTAAGAGTCAATGATTCCCCAAACATATGGCCGAACAATAAGCATGCTATGATCTAACATAAAAATGCTGAGAATGGCCCATCTTCAGTAACCCAGGAGGTTGAAACTGTTTCTTTCCAGTAGTCATGGTAAGCAAATCCAAACTCTTTCTCATTCAACTAGCCCTGCCTGTCTGGATTTGCCAGACAGCTGGTTAGCGTTAGAGATGCTGTCCATGGCTATGTGACCCAGGTCCTATTTATGCATAACTGATTGGCCAGAATCATAACTGGAACCATAAACTTGGCCAAGGTCACACTCTGCTCAAACCAGCTGAATTCATCAATTCAGTACAGGGCTACTCAAATACAGAAGAGTATACCAAAACAGCCCTTAATGACATTCCATTGTAGAAATTCAGTTTACATAATACAGTTGAACCACGTATATCTATGCAATTCAAAAACCCCACCAAATTCAACCATTATGCTCCATGAAAGATGTATTTGCTTTAGTTACTTAATCCTTTACCTCTGTCTTTGTTTTTCTCCTTTCCTAGTGAATCCAGTTTCTTTCTCAAAGATTTCTTTCTCTTCTGTCCATCTGTAAATATAAAAAGAATAAGAATTTATAAAAACAAACATACAAGTGATATTTTACATTATTAATAATTACATTTTAGCAGAAGTATAGCTTTTCTCTTACTTCACTGATAATTGACAGAGTACCACCTCTGAGAATACATAAAAATCTCTGACTTGGATAGCACATATAATCAGAATCTTTGTGTATGCTCTTAAATTTTGTTTCAGTCATGGAAAGTATAGGAAACTTTCCTCCTTTGGAAGTAATCTAACTTTGACATTTAGATATGTTTGCTTTTACTATTACATAAGTCTCTTCCTATTCTCCATGATTATGCAACTCAATGTCCATCTTGAACCAAGTCTCCATGAGAGGAGAGTTAATGGCACATATACTTTTGACATTATGAGCTTGTAGAGTATAACTGGATAAGGAAATGGATTTGGGGGTTCATAGAACTCAAGTTTAACTATTGCTGCACCACTTACTATGTGACTTTGGACACGTCTTAGTGTCCTCATCTATAAAATGGGAAGTTCATGGGGTTGTTGTGAGAAATAAATAAAAGGATGAATATAAAGTACCTAACAGAGAGCCTGACATATGTCAGGCTACTTTCATTGACGGGGCTTGCATAGTATTCCATGGTATGGCTGTACCGTAATTTAATTAACCATTCCCCCATTGATGGACACTTGGGTTGTTTCTAATTTTTCACTATAATAAGTAAGGAATATATTCTTTTAGCATCTGGTATTTGCAACAAATGTACTTAATATGTCCGTTTAACTCACCAAATAATAAAGATACCACTGATATCAGTGGGCAGCTGCAATTGAATTCCTGGGATGTCATCATAAAATATTGGCATTCATCATTGCCAGAATGCGTTTCAAGATTATGCAGCTGTCGATCTAACATGTGGGAGGTGCGAATCCAGAATCCACACTGTGATCAAATAGGCGACACACAGCCCATGTCACGAGGAAATGTATAGTGAATGAGAGGATTAAGAATTGTTTTTTATATAATTCTTTCATATAATTTTACTAAATATGTAGTAAAGAAAGAGATTCAGGCCAACAAAATTTAAAAGCAAGACTATGATATCAGGAAAAGACAGAATAAGCATTCTGAAACAGAAATGAGCATTCCTGGGATCCTCACGAAGTTGCAGATGTTCCCAACTCCTCTTCTCCAAATTTTTGGAGGCAAAAGAACATCACAATATGATCAACAACAGGCATACTCGATCCCTCCTCCTTTTCAAAGATTTAAAAAAAAATGACTCTCCTAGGCCAGGTGCAGTGGCTCACATCTATAATCCCAGCACTTTGAGGCTGAGGTGGGAGGATCACTTGAGGCCAGGAGTTTGAGACAAGCCTGAGCAAGAGTGAGACCATGTCTCTACAAAAAGTAGAAAAATTAGCCAGGCCTCGTGTCACGTGCCTGTAGTCCCAGTTACTCTGGAGGCTGAGGCAGGAGGATCACTTGAGCCCAGGAGTTTGAGGTTGCGGTGAGCTGTGATGACACCACTGCACTCTAGTCCGGGCAACAGAGCAAGACTCTGTTTCAAAAAAAAAAAAAAATTCTCCTCCCACAAAATGAAAATAGTTTATAAAGGTCTTCACCCTTACAGTCACGCAATTTGTATAGGGGAAAATTATGTAAATAAGTTGTAATGTAGCAAAGGGTCATCGATCTCTTCCATCACATATATGTCCATGTCTTCAATGTCTAAAAGAGGATCTAACTACAGGGCCTACCATGACATATTATATGTGCACAGACAATAAACATGTTAATTGTGCACAATTCTAATCTGTTCTCCAAATAGGACTGACAGGTATTTTACTTTGTAACACTCGGTTCATTGCTAGTTCATATCACCAAATGCATTTGATAGTAACAAGTTTTTATTGTTTAAAAATCCTCTAATTCCTTCATTTAAATAGTTGATCCACAGAATAATTAAACCATATATTAAAGCTTAAGAGATTTATTTTTTGTAAGTAGTAGGCAGATCCTCAAATTCAAACAAGTTGTCAAAGAGCCAGAATACATACAGGATAGGGGACATTTTCCTTTAAGATAGAATGAGTCTTAATTTTTTTTTAATTATGGGATGTATCATATGTAGATGTGTATAAATATAAATGTGCAATTTAAATAATAATTAGAAGTCCAAGTCCAACATATCCAACAGCCAAGTTAGGTTGTAGACTATTGCTAGTACCCAAACAACCACCTGCATGCCTCCCTCCTCCTCAGCCCAGGCAATTACTGTTCTGACTTTTGCAATAATCAATTATCAACTTTTCTTTATAGTTTTACCCTCTATGAATGCATTTATAAAAATATGGTTTTGTTTTTCCTGCTTTGGGATGTATATAAATGGAATCACACTGTGGATACTCTTTCTTGCCTCGCTTACTTCGTTCACCAACACTTCCTGAGATTCATCCTGCTGAGGCAGGGAGCCGTGGATCATTTCTTTTGCCTGCTACATAATGTTTTCCTTTTCTTGTATGAATATACCACAGTTAACTTTCCCATTGAACTGTTGATGAAAATTTGAGTTGTTTAGCTTGGGGTTATTAGAAATAAAATTTTTGAAAAATTTTCTTCTTGTGTCCTTACTGCATGCATGTATAAGAGTCTCCCTAAGGGGACCATAGCATCAGTATAGCCTGGGAACCTGTTAGACATGCAAATTCTCTATAGTCCCAAGCCAGACCCACTGAATCTAGAACTCTTGGGTGGCACCTGGCAATGTGTGTTTGAACACACCCTCCAGGGGATTCTGGTGCTCACTAAAGTCTGAGAACCATCGCTCCAGAGTATATATGTAAAAGCTGCATTGCTTGGTTGGCATGTATACAATCTTAGGCTTTATTAGGTAACATCAAACTTTTCGAAGCAGTTTTGTTCATTTATATTCCCACCAGTATGAGAGGTTACACAGTCCTACAAGGATAATATGAACTTTAAACTCCAAAACTCAAAACAATATCTTGAAGTCTCCTTATAGGCAAAGTGTGATATTTGTGAATGCTGCCCTATAATTCAAAAAATGCTTAACTACTTAGAACAAATATTATCTTTTTCATTTAATTAGATAGAGGTAAATGTTATTAATAGGCAACTATACAAAATGATGGATGATGTGCAATAACGTGAACAAATGATGCATTGCTTTAGCATGCCATTTGCTCTTTTAAAAATCCTCAGGAAAATGACCAGAGCTGCACAATGAAAGTTGCTCACTCTGTCTCTCTTTCTTGCCATCAACTGGTGGTTTGCTTGGGAGTTTCCAATTTTTGACGAATAAAATGTCTCATCTTTTTTTCCCCATAGAACACAAAATATCTGCTCAAGTGGCTTATGCACTTGCAACCATACAGAAAAGTTTATGTCCAACCAGTTCCTTGGATGGCAATAAGTGTGATAAATGCCACTGTGTTTTTTTAAAGAAATGCAAGTGGCCAACTATCAGTACTATACAGAAATGTTTTTACGGTGTAAATGGTGATGAGCACATGCGTGCTTGCTAACTGCACCCTGTGTGTGCATTGTCTTACAGACAGCAGTAACCTGTAGGAAGAACTCGGGTAACATGTCCTGACTAAAGACATCTTAGAACAAGCACATACAGATTGGCCTCCAAGCACCTTCCTTTCACTGGGCATGGTGGAAGTCCTCATTAATGTGCCCAGAGGAGACCATGTCCTACGTGGGAGACCTCACAGACACACAAAACACATCAGCAGATGGTGAGGCAGCAAGCCTTCCACATCCTAGTGACCCCAAAGCAAAGGACCCATTAATGTGGGGTCTGGTTAATCTGAGCATCCTCTTGGGAAAGACCAATACCAAACAGGGTCTTCAGGAGGGTTAAGAACAAGAAAACAGGAGATTGCTCTTCTAAGAAGACATGCTTTTCATGGACTAATTTGCTGTTGGGAGTGGTTTTCCATTGTAAGGTTTTGTTTGTTTCTCTAGCTAGACTAGAAGCTCTCTGAGGGCAGAACCACACCTCCCAGGCTTTTGTCTTCCTCCAGGTGAATAGCATAGGGCAGGGCATGACCTGACAACTTGGTGGCACTGTCCAGGACCAGGAAGCCAGATGGAGATTTTAGGTTCTGCGAAAACTCAGGAACAATGGAGTACACACCTCCTAATTTTAAGGTGATCATAATCAGAGAATGAGGCTTATAAAGCAGTATTTTTCTAATTTTTCTAATTTTTCTAAATTTCTAATTATTTAATTCTAGAGATAATAATAAAAATATTGTCCAAGGAAAGATTTATTTTGGTCACAGAAGGAAATGTAAGGGTTACCTTTGGGGACTAAATATTATCTGAAAGGGAGCATGAAGGAGCTTTCTGGGGTGCTGAGGATGTTCTATATCTTGATCTGATTGATAGTTACATGATATATACATATTAAAAACCCATCAAGCTATTTTTGTGCAATGTATATTTATGTACATTGCTATATGTATGTTATTCCCAAATAAAAATAATAACAACAAAAGATTTCATTGTTTTTACAGAACGGCACCAACATAAAAGTTACATTAACTGAATGGGGCTAAAAACTCAGCAAGAAAGTCCTGCAGAAGAAAGTTCTTGAGTGCTTAACTTTTCTAAATATCTGAATACTTAGGATTTCATCTGACCACCACAACTTTCCTGTGACATAGGCACATAGTAGTAATGAATAGTTAGTGTTTATTGAGCAAGTACTGTAAACTAAGTGCTTTGTATGTGCAACCTTATTACATCTTCACAGCAGCTCTATGAAGCCCATGCTATTATTCTTCCCAATTTACAGATAAGGAGACTGAGGTTAGGAGAGGTTTAAGTAACTCATCCATGGGCAGAAATTGGGATGTAGTAGATAACAGAACTTGCACACAGGACTATCCAATGTCAAAGCTGGTGCTCTTAACCTCTATCTATGCTGTAGTGAAGGAAATGTGGTGCCTGTTTGAGGGATGTGACACTGACAGCCA